ATCAAGCTTATGCTCATGGAAGTACCAATCTGGTGTCAAATGGGTGTGATGACTTAACATGCAAAAACTGGGCAAGCACAAGATATTTATGTGAAAGGTCTTTTTGTAAAAGGGCATTATTTCAAAGAAAGGGTCAGTAACATCAGGTAATATTTGGCCAGAGAGCTGGGGTGCAATGTCTAGAATGGGCTGATGTGCTAGAACAGCATCTTTCCTGCTGATTTGCCAAAATTTTGGCCTTCCAGACTCATGCAAGGTTTGTCCTAAGACAAACAACTTACAGTAACAATGACAAAGTTTTTATACTAAGCAAAAAAGATGACATCCCTATTTGTCTTCACATGTGCCACTACCTGGCTGCTAACAACATTATGCCATTGTCCAAATCTGTGAGCTCATTGCTGAAATGCGCCAGTTTGAACCTAATCAAACTTTTGCAACATACAGAGTAAAGTGCATGTCTTGATACATTTGTCATGAAGACATTTTGTACAGCCTCAACACCAGGCATGATGCCATCAGTTACTTGTCTTGTCCTAACTGATCGCTTTCACAGCTCTGACTGATTTCAGTTCGTCAGCACAGCATGGTGTGAGTGCCTCACATCCATCCTGAAATGCCTCGCCGAACGCCGTCCTTCGGCGGCGGCAAGGCGCCGTTGGCCAACAAACCGCCGGCCGTGGACGACTCGCGGCCGGATCCCCCCGCCGACCTTCACCTGCACACACCGGAGCCGGAGGAAGCGGCCCATGACCCGCCGCCCGCGCCCGGCCGCGGTCAGCCCGACACCGCCGATCGCCACCTGCGCAATCCTCGGCCGCACGTCCCGGGGCGCTGTGGTGTCCCGGGCAGCACAGCGGGGCTGGTTGGCGCGGGGACTGCTGATGACGCTGAGGAAGGAGCGGAGCGCCCAGCAGGGAGAGCGGCGGCGAGAGCAGCGGAACGCCCTGCGGTGAGAGCGGCGGAGGAAGCAGCAGAGCGTCCAGCGGTGGGAGCGGCGGAGGGAGCAGCGGAGCGCCCAGCGGGGAGAGCGGCGGAGAGAGCAGCGGAGTGCCCAGGGGAGTGCCCAGCGGGGAGAGCGGCGGAGGGAGCAGCGGAGTGCCCAGCGGGGAGAGCGGTGGAGGGAGCAGCGGAGTGCCCAGCAGGGAGAGCGACGGAGGGAGCAGCGGAATGCCCAGCGGGAAGAGCTGAGGAGAGACCAGCAGAGTGCCGAGCGGGGAGAGCGGCGGAGGGAGCAGCGAAGTGCCCAGCGAGGAGAGCGGCGGAAGGAGCAGCGGAGTGTCCAGCGAGGAGAGCGGCGGAGGGAGTGGCGGAGGGAGCAGCGGAGCGCGCAGCCGAGGGGGCGGCGGAGCGCGTGGCCAAGGGAGCGGCGGGGGACCCGGTGGAACGCACAGGGTGGGAGCCGACAGAAGGAGCAGCGGAACGCACAATGAGGGGAGCGACGGAGGGCGCGGTGGAGCGCACAGGGAGGGTAGCAGCGGAGGGAGCGGCGAAGCGCGCGACCGGGGGAGCATCGGAGCGCGCGGTAGAGACATTGGCGGGGGGAGCGGCGGAGCGCGCAGAAGGATCGGAGCGCCCTGCGGAGGCAGCGGCGGGATGCGAAGCGATGGACTGGGCGTCGGCATCAGAGGACGGTGTCCTCGGATCCCCTGAAGTGGGCGAACGCGCTGATATGTCCAGCCCGAGTCGGGCGAGGAAGGCTCGGTCGGTCGCCAGGGGCTTCCCCACCACGCGCCGAGGTGAGCTCATCGTGTAGTGTGTCGAGTAACCGCAGTTGCGAAGGCAGTTGGATGTATTTCAGCCAAATTGAAGCTATGTCATGCATAAACATGACATTGAAGACCATGCGCGGACAAGTTTTACGAGAACGTGTGACTTATTGTGTATGCTATTCATGTTTTGAAATGCATGGTCATTCTCCATATGTTTCGATGAGTTAGTGCTGGGAAACGCATTCATTGTTACTTCCCCCTCAGTATGTTGTCACAGACCAGTAAAGGATGAAATATACTGCATTGGATTAAGCGATTTATGGTATGATGGGACGACGTGTTGGCACGACAGATGGAAATGGCAATAGATTCATCGCGCATCGCGCAAACATCGCGTGAATGACAGTCCATGCTTGCGGAATCTGTGTGCGCGTTTTGCTTCACACGCGCACCCGCTCACAGCAGCTGTACGCAAGTGTGTATATGTATGCAGGTCGACTGGGTCGGGTCGGCGGCCGGGCTCGACGGCGCTCGCCTCGCCTGCGCGCCTCCACTCCCTCTCTGGAGGAAGAGGAGCCGCCAGTCAGCGGCCACGAGCTCTTCGACCAGGAGATCCACCGCAAGGCCACTAAGGCCAAGATCAGCGTGCGCAACGTCAAGAGCATGATCAAAAACATTATCAGCAACGAGCAGGTGCGGCTGGTCGGTGTGTGCTAGCCATCTGATGTAAATGTATATAAATTACTGATTAGAGGTGATGCCTTTGTGAGGTGAGCATGATGCCGAGGCAAGTTGTGTTGTGGAACTTGAAATGATTCGTCGTTGATTCGCCATTTATTTCCGCAAATATTTAGTTCCGTGTCGTTTAGTGATATATCTCGGCGGATATACTGTCTCGACAAAACACTCGCATGTATGCTGGCATGGTAGTGATGCAATGCAGCAGCTTATTGTTCGAAATATTGTGTTCAATATGCGTCTCAGAAATATTTCGCGATTGCTAACATGTGCCACTGTAATGGTCCTGTCAGCTAACGGCATCAAGGTGGTCATTATTTGACAGCGTGGAGCTCCAACAGTCCAACAAGTGGAGTCCTCTTTGGAAGCCGGCAGCTCCGTTCATCACCATTCCACCAGACCGCTGGAGCTGCAACCGGCCGCGCGGCCGCAGCTTCTGTGTCGTGACCTCAGCTTCCACGTGCCACGCAGGTGCTGGCCATGATGCAGTACACCGTGTCGAAGGACGCCGACCCGGACACCGCCGAGCTGCCGCCCGGCCTCGAGCCCAAGATGACGCGCGCGCGCACGCGCCAGCTGCTGGCCGACTCCCAGCTCACGGAAGTGGCGCTGACGCCGGTCAAGCGCGCCTCGTCCACCACCGAGCAGCTGATCCTGCACGAGTTCCCCGACGACGACGACGACGAGGAGTACACGCCGCGTAAGGCCCTGGACGCCAGCGGCCTGTCGTCGGCGCCGTCGTCGCCGGCGCCGTCGACGCCGTCCGTCTGCTCGTCGGCCATGACGCCGCGCACGCCTGCTACGCCCGGCTCCACGTGCGAGGAGCCGCCCAGCCGGCGCACGCGCAGCCGCCTGCCGCTCACCGACCAGCCGCTGGAGACGCTCGAGCAGCTGGTAAGTCGATCGCGCCACCGCCGGCACGGGGAGTATGCTGGGACGCGGGCACGGCGACGCAGAGGGTGGCAGGACTGGTTATTGTTGAGGTTAGCTGCGGAGCGGATGGTGGATGCTGTGGGATCTTTTTTGCACAAGCTGGCTGGTCCGCTGCAACCTCCATTGGTCAAGATGGCCCCCTTATCTGCTAATCTAAAGAACAGCAGTTGGCTGTGTGGTCGTTCTCATTCAGAGCTCTCGTCCATCCTTCTTTGTCAAGTGTTGAAAAGCTTAAGTGTGTACATGTTTACGAGGAACAGTACAATGCTAAATGTGCGGATGATGTGTGGTCTGCAGTATTTGCTCGTGCTGGCTGTGGCAGTGCATGAACTGATATCTAGAACGTGTATCGGGTTCACCTGTAATGCTTCGCACATCCGGCACCGGAGCGGCACGGTTCATCTGCGTTGCTTGCCTGGCGTGTGCACGTGTAACTTATGTTTCAGCTTGTGGCACCAGATGTCACCCCCGACATGTACGTCCCGGTGGTGGACGACGACGACTGGGCCAGTTTTCTTCGTGCCTTCAACATGCCGGTCCCCACGGACGCGCCCGAAGACGAGGACGAAGACGAGGAGTACGTGTTCCAGGTATGGGAAGCGCAGACCGTGGATACGACTCGCAGCTGGGTCAGACTGACTGTGTGTGATTGGCGTATTGCGCTAACTCAGTGACGGCAAAATGCCGTACTGTGAAGCATGTGCGGTGTATTTACACACCAACATTCCAGAGCAGTGCTTTGCTTAGTTCTGGAATGGGCTAGATCCTTTCATCAAGATTTATGGTTGCTCATCATGAGAATGTTTCCTCTTCCTTTTTCCAAAGGCATCTGCTGTCATATGTTCCGGCCACTGCATGCACTGATATTTTGTCGACTGCACCAGCAGTGGCTGTCACCTGGACTGTGCTGTTTCCCTGTGTGCGGTGATAGGCCGTATCCGGCGTTTGCTCGTGTCGTGCGTTGATTCATGCGCGCCGGTTCCCCATGTCTGCTTATGGCCCCTGTCCGCCGATGACCCCTTCCGCCGATGTCCCCAGTCCGCCGATGATCACTGTCCGCCGATGACCCCTTCCGCCGATGACTTCTTCCGCCGATGACCCCTGTCCGCCGATGACCACTGCCCGCCGATGACCCCTGATCGCTGATAACCACTGCCCGCCGATGACCCCTGTCCGCTGATGACCACTGTCCGCCGGTGACCTCTTCCGCCGATGACTCCTTCCGCCGATGACCCCTGTCCGCCGTTGACCCCTGTCCACTGGTGACCCGTGTCCGCGTTCCCTGCCAGATGAACGAAGACGAGGAGGTGGAACGCGAGGAGCTGCGCGGCGACACGGCCGTCCGCATCTCACAGAAGGAGGTCAACAAGCTCATGTGCGAGCTGCTCAAGGACGTGAACGAGCTGCAGTGGCGCGAGCCGCCCTGGGAGGACGAGCCGCCGTTGCCGCCGCCTCCGCCGCCGCCGCCACCGCCGCCGGGCGCCGGCGGCCAGCCGGCCAGCCGCTGCGCCATGACGGCGACGCAGGCGCGCCAGCTCGACCGTCAGATGGCGGCGCACGTGCAGCTGCTGGCGCAGACGTGCCTGCTGAGCGCCGAGCAGGACTGGCTGCAGGAGGAGCGCGTCGGCTGCGCCGCGCTGCTGGTGGAGCTCAACAGCCTGACCTCGGCACTGCGACCCGAGGCGCCCTCCTCCTCGTTCTTCTGCGCGCCGAACCTGGCGCCGGCGCTGGAGATGGTGGCCAAGCTGGACCAGCTGAGCCCCGAGCAGCTGCGCGGGCGACCCTCACAGGTGTTCCGGTGCGTGGCGGGGCAGGGAAGGGTGACGGGCGGCCGGTGCGGGTCCTGCGTGGCTGAGATGGACGCTGGTGTGCGTGCGGTGGGTGGTCGGGTGCGAGTGGCAGTGTGGGGCGAACCTCGGCTCTCTGCCTGAGCTATATAAGTATGTTGGTCGAGTTCTAACGGGGCTTCTGAAGTCATTTCCAACCATCTCCAGCGCTCTTGCGATACGAGTCGTCTTTGTTGACCGACCCCGCTGCCCCTCATCTCACCGTGCGCGACACTTTCAGCGGCCGCTCGGGCTACTACTGCCGGTTCTCGGACCGCGTCATCGACACCGTCCTGGAAAGCACGGCGTTCGTGTTCCCGAAGCTGCTGCCGACCAGCGCACCCCACCTGCGGCCCAAGAACTGCGTCACGCCGGGTCGCGAGTTCACCATCTTCCGCGAGCTGGACCAGCTGATCGCCATGGGGCTGGAGCAATTCACGCCGTACGCCAACGCGATGCGGCCGGCCGACCGCAGGCGGGTGGCGCCGGTCGCCGCCGCCTGCCGCTACATGGCGCGCTATATGCTGCCGCTGACGACAGCCCAGCTGCAGGCGCGGATGCGGTACGTGCGCAACAGGAACCTGTCCGACAACCCGATCATGGTGTTCCTGGACCGCCGACGCGCGCCGCCGGTGCTCCGCGACACGACGCTGCCCGAGTACCCGCTGACGCCGCTCATCAGCCGGCCACGCCAGCTCGACGAGCCGTGGTCGTCGCTGGTGCACCGCGGCAACGCCTTCTTCAAGGCGCGCGGCCTCAGGAAGGGCAAGCTGGTGTGGCTTAAGAAGAACGAGGAGCTGAAGAAGCGGATGGAGGCGGAGCGCCGCGCTAGGATGCCGCCGCCGCCGCCCGAGAAGAAGCGCAACGAGCCGCGTCCGCGTGTCAGTCGGCAGCAGACGCAGGTGTGGATCGAAGATGCGCGCCGGGTGCGCTGCAACCTGCGGCGCGCGCGTCCGATGAAGGTGGCCATCTCGGGCGTGGGGCCGGTGCGCGCCGACGACCGGGCCCAGCTGCTGGCCGGCGGCGGCTGCGACCCGCACGGCACGGTCGACGAGTCGGGCGAATGGAGCGGGTGCGAAGGACGGGGTGGGCAGGACGAGCTGACTGAACGGGGTGAGCGGAGTGAGCGCGGCGGACAGGCCGACTGGGATGAGCAGGACGACTGTGATCAACACCACGTGCGGAGTGAACAGGACAGACAGGAGAAGTCGAACGAGTCGGACGATTCCGACGGAGCATTCGAGTCGGCGCGCGAGCCGGCTGCGGGGCCAGACATCCTGGCCATGTGCATACCCGAGATCACGGGCGAGCGTCCCTGCCGCCCACGGCGTGCCGAGGTCAAGGTGGAGCGCCTGGCCGCGGCCGCGGACATCGACGGGCGCGTGATACGGACGTCTGCGCTGCTGGCGACGGCGGACGCCGACGCTCCCGGCCCCACAGAGCGGCCGGCCACCGACTCCGACGCTGCGGACCGACCGGGAGACGGCGCCGTCTCGGCCGAGCCGCCGGTCGACGCGGCGGCGTGTCCCGCCACGCCGGTCATCTCAGTGGAGCGGCCGCGCTCGGCCGCCAGCTCGGTTATCGAGCTGGCCGAGGAGGACGGCCGGCTGGTGGTGATCATCCGCACGGCCGGGCGGCCCACCGTCCGCGTGCCGGTCAAGTCGACGGCCGGCTCCACACGCCTGCTGCTGCCGCCGCGGCTTGCGCTGCAGGAGATGGCCATGGCACGGCCGCCGGCCGCCCGGCGCACCGGCGTCGTGGCGCCCACTGTGCGGCCACCGGGTGGCGCCACGACGCCGTCACCGCCGCCGCTCGCGGCGTCGCCGCCGCCGCCGCCGGCCGCGCCGCCGCTGCCGCCATCACCGGCCGCGCCGCCGCCGCCGCCGCCATCACCGGCGCAGCCGGACGACAGCCGCCTCTTCAAGCAGCCGTTCACGCCGCACAAGCTGCGCCGGCCGCCGGCCGCCGCCGCCGTGATCACCGTCTGCCCGGTCACGACCACCGTGACGGGCGCGGCGACAACGGCAGGGAGCAACGCTCCGGTGCCGGTGGCGGCGACGGAGGAGCCGGCGGCGTCCGGCCCCGCCCCCGTCCCCGTTTCAGCCGCCATGGACGCTAAGCCGGAGTCCACGACGCCGCCGACGACGGCCGACTGGGTGCCGCCGCCGGCTGCCGCTCTCGCGCTGCCCGAGCTGTCTGATATGATGGCGCCGGCGCTGCTGACGCCACGACGCGGTTCGCCCGACCCGCTCGTGTTTGGCTTCCCCACGCCGGCCTGTGAGCGCTCGCCGTCGGAGAGCGGCGACCTGCGCACTCCGCCGCCCCCGCCCGGTCTGCTGGAGACGCCACTGGTGCGGAACTCGCCGCCGGTCTCGCCGCGCACCCCGTCTCCCCGCCGGGCGCGGGGCGGCGATTCCGCGCCGTCCCCCGCAGTGGTGACATCCGGTGATAGCCAGCCGAAGCTCAACTTAGGTTTCTTCCGGCCGACGGCGGGCGAACGCGAAGCGCCGGCGCCGGCGGCCGAACCTGCTCGATCAGGTCCGGACCTGACCTCAGAGACCTCGGAGCAGTCTCTGGGTGGAATCCTGGATATGTTGCTGACGCGTCCAACTGTCCCGGGCTGTACCCGGGCAGAGGCTGCGGCGCCACGCGCGGACAGCTCAGCCGCGCGCCCCCACCGTGCCTTTGTCGAGCCGCCGCCCGACCTGCCACCATCAGGCTCGCGGCCCGCGACCGCGCCGGTCAGCGGAGCCGCGGTCGGGTCTCCCGCGGCGCGCGGTACCGAGGCGGCGCCATGTCCCTCGGAGGCAGCGGCAGTGTCTCCGGCTCGCCTCGCCTCGACGGCGCCCGACGCAGCGCCGCTCGAGCGCGAGCCTGCGGAGCGGCCCCCCGAGTCATCGCGTGGTACTGAGTCAGCATCGCCGCCGGCGCCGTCCTCCGAGCCGCTGGGAAACCCGCCGACGCCCGACCGGCGGCCGGCGTCGGGCGCGGCCGAGCCGGCGAGTGTGGGCCGCAGCAGCGGCGTGCGCACGCGGAGCGAGACAGGCGGTCCGACAACGGGCCGTCCGTCGGAGCCGGTGCCGGACGCCACGTCGGCGCGGGAAGAGGACGGCACGCCGCAGGCAGAGGAGGTGAGTTTCCGGTGGCGGTGAACCGCCCTGTCTTGTCACAACACGGCCGAGAATCACATAAGAGCATCACTTACAGCGATCATCGGCCACCACGAACATCGCCTAAACCCTGAAACGAACATAGTCTAAAAATGTTGTTTAAACCGGGTCCTATGGTGAAGTTCGTACGTTCAGCCAAGGATGTAGATTCCAATTTCGATTCGGAAAGTTGCTTTAGGAGAAGCACGGTTCGAAGTGTTGAGTATCATCAATATAGTCAGAATTTAGCCTTACAACTTCGTGCCGAAGTGCCGAACAGGACGCTTCCGCGCATAGTGAGCAGCGCGTGCATAGTGACTTGAACCCCCACACCGTCTGGTGGGTTGGGATCGTCAGGAGCAGGTGCAAATTAAGGCGCGAAGGGCGACAAGCTGTTGCTTTTGGTTTCGACGTAATTCATTCCGGTCACCGTGCGCGCCCTTCTACCTGTGATCGCTGGTTTAAGCCCTGATGTCTAGCTGGCGCACTATACCAGGTTTTAACTTTTTTCCATACCGTTACCCAAGAACGGGTCACCAGGAGTGCCCCTCCCTCTATCCCGGCGGCGCAATAAACCGTACGTTAACACCAGAAAACCTCAAATGAAGTCGCGGCACTCCCAGCTTGGGAGAAAAAAACGAACACAGAGAAGCAGTCGAAGAGGTGGTGCAGACCTGGCGGGAATTGTGTTATGCGATAGGCCAGGACAAATTATGCATGAGAAGGCTTAAAGTAGTCATAGCTAAAGTCAGCTATAATGACAGTCCGCGAGAACCACCCAATAAGCTGCAGCCACTTACTCACAGTATCAGTAACGGTTGTACAGTTACACAAGGCGGAGGGGCAGTGAACTGGTCATTTTCGTGCTGGGTTTTGAGCTGGATGCATAGGGAGTCCACCCAGCTTAGCGGAGCTTGTTCGGAGAACTCCCGAAGCCAGCGCCATGAATTTGGGTACAAGTGCGTGGATATAACTACATCAGAACGTCCTTATGGAGCGTGAAGGAGGTTAAATATGAAGTGAGTTACATACGTGCAGAGCAAAAATTGCAATATCTTCGAATGTGTTGGTTACGTCGATATGTATTCACGAAATGCGTGAGGATGATGTTGGTAGCGATGGTTTTTGATGCTGAGATATCAACTATTCTTGGAAAGTATGAAATCATAATATCGTTCCACAGCTTAGGGCCAGGGCAAGATAGTGCATATCACCTATAATTACCATAAAAAGAAGATTGGTCTAAATGGTTTACTTGCCTCATATTCATTTCATTTGATTTGTAGAGCTTGTATATTAAATGAAATGATTCAGGAAGCTGTGGAGTTAGAAATTTGGGGATTCTTCAAGTACTTCACCTTTTTTAGAAGAAGAAAAATCTCCACCGCGAGCGTTTTATGCGCAGTACGAAACGGGCACAGCCAGCTCACGTTAGCAGAATTGGCCAACTTCGAAATCATACAACCCAAACAACATCTTTAGCACCAAAAATAACGAGCAGGCAATTAGCATTATTTACTTCGTCGTTTTGACCATTGCTACTCACAATGCCCGCTTGAGTGCCTATCATCTTCAAGAAGTTACCATCGGACACTATTATCATTTCGGCAACAAACCAGTAACGTGATTTTTAACTCGCAGACACCAGACAATTTATAACACGTACTTAAAGGGCAACCTAAGGACCAAATCACGGACATACGAGGAACCAAGAATAGTATCCCAGTTCTGCACATTCGTGTCTCGAATTATCTGTTGGTGCGCTGAGCCAACAAATTCACACTTATTTGAGCCAAACACATCGTGACGACAATGTCGCTTAAGCTACAACACTTGGGTTCAATTAATATGGCTACTCCGTTGCCGTGAGATCCTGCCATCATGTCGTGCGGAGGGACTGTCGTAGTACCCTCTTAAAGTAGTGCACCTCTTGTACAATTCCCACGAGCGAGGCCTGAAATCACTCTGACATCCAGAGACATACTCTGCTGAGATAGTATGCCAACAGCAATCCAAAGGAGACGGACCAAGCCCCGGGAAAATAAGACTGAAGCCAGGCCAGCGTTTTCGGTACGGTACACATACGTCTAGTAGCGTAGTGCACCTCACAAACGAGTCCGGATAATGCGATTCACACTTATTAGAACGTAACACATCGTGCTGACATTGTCGGTGGAACTGCAAGACTTCGGTCCGATGAATAAGACTCATGCATTGCCCTGAGATGTTGTCATCGTGTGCGGGCGGACTGCAGTAGCACCCTCTTCAAGCAGTACACCTCTTGTATAATTCCAATTGGCGAGACCTAAAAACCGCTCCGACGTCCAAAGACATCCTCTACCGAGATAATATGCCAATAGCAATCCTAAGGAAACGGACCAAGCCCCGAAAATCGAAGACTGAAGCAAAGCCAGGTACGGCACATATACGTCTATTAGCGTATATGTGCCGTACCGGAACATCCAAACCGTACCAAACTGACATTCAAAGACATGCTCTACCGAGAGAATATGCTAACAACAATGCCAAAGTAATAAGCCAAGCCCCGGAAACCGAAGACCGAAGTAAATCCCACGTTTTCAGTACGGTACATATGCTTTAATTGGCGCATTGCACCTCATACACTGGTCCGGATGATGCAATTCACACTTGCTAGAAATAAATATGTCGTGCGGGCATTGTCGGTTCAGTTACGACACTTAGGTTCAATGAATAAGACCCATGCATTGCCGTGAGATGTTGCCATCATGTGCGGACGGACTGCAGTAGCAGCCTCGTAAAGTAGTGCACCTCTGGTATAATTCGAATTGACGAGACCTAAAAACCGCTCTGACATCCAAATACATGCTCTACCGAGATAATATGCCGACAGCAGCCCCAAGGAAATAGGCCAAGCCCCGCAAACCGAAGACCGAAGCAAAGCCAACGTTTTCGGTACGGCACATATACGTTTATTGGCGCGGGGCACTTGAAACACCAGTCCTTATAGTTCGATTCACACTTACTAGAAGTAAACACGTAACGACAATGTCGTACTTGGGTTCAATGAACAAGACTCATGCATTGCCGTGAGATATCACCATCATGTTGCGCGGACTGACCGTAGAAGCAACCCCTTTAAAGTAGTGTACCTCTTGCATTATTGCAGTTCGCGAGACCTGAAAACGCCTCTGGCATCCAAGAACATTCTCTACCGAGATAGTACTGTCGTGTATAAGGTGCGCTGCGCTTATAAACATGTATGCACCGTACCGAAAACGTTGGCCTCGCTTCGGTCTTCGGTTTCCGGCCGACCGACCGGGGCCTGGTCGGCCCCCGTAGAATTGCTGTTGGCACGTTATCTCGGTAGAGTATGTCTTTGGATGTCATAGCGGTTTTTGGGTCTCGCCAATTGGAATTATACAAGAGGTGCACTGCTTTAAGAAGACGGAAATTTGTGCATTACAATCAAGATCTGGGATTTAGGGATATCAAACAATTCCAAAATTGCGTATAGTTTGAAGATGGGCTCGGCGCTTTGTGAAGGGTACAAGTTTTCTATCAGACGCACAGCCCTTTTTTGCAAGATTACTAACCTGTAGTTGAAAAGCATAATATACACCCTGAATCAAGCAACGGTAATTTAGATGAGGAAGAATTAAAGTGTTATAGTGTAAATGTGTCATTGTTTTATCAATGAAATACCTAATCCAAATTATTATTCCCATATTTTGTGACATTGTTTTATCAATGAAATACCTAATCCTACCTGTTATTCCCATATTTCATCTTGATGAGATGACAGGATGAGATGGGGTGAAGCTTGTTTTCATTAGGCTTAGTAAGGCTACTTAAATGGAAATAATCAGTGCTATTTTGCAACGAACAGTGGTACATTATTTGTATTTCTTGGTCCCATCTTAACAGAAGCCAGCAGTGTGTCTGTTGTGTCTGATTTGCTGATGTATTGATTTGGAGAAGTTCAATGCTTTTTTGTGTGAATACTAAACGCTTGTTGATTTTTTGGTTGTTGCTTCTGTTGTTAAATTCAATTGCTTTGTCTTGTGTTGATAAAATCCTGTGGAAGGGGAGCACAAAGTGACACATCAAAACAATGGTGCTGCATAGTTTTTTATGCTCATCACACTATCATGAAATTACTATTAAATGTATTCCATTTTACTTTTATGACCTACAGTGTTGAGACAAAACTATTTTGTGATGTGTATGATTTTGCTTCCATGCCAACTTGTATGTATGTCTTTGTTTGCTAGAACATCCCTCACTTGTCAGTTGTTGTCTCAGTCACTTATCACCTCTTTGACTTGTCAGTTCCAACTTTTGTTGAATTGAATTTTTCACTTCTGTGCAGCCTTGCTGGATGGAATTTTTCTCTCCTACCCTGGGTCAAAACCGATTCTAGCTTCTTGCTTACATATGTCGAGTGGCCAATCCCACAGAAAATCATCCTTGATAATGCATTGCATTAGCGTGTGTAGCATTAATGTTCCTTTTGGTTTGTCTGTATTGTTTCACTTTTACACCTTAAAAGGCAAACAAGAAAACAATGATGGAAAGGCATCCCACATTTTATTGGAAATAAGTACACAGACGAACACGCAACCAAGCACTCACTATCCCATGTGTAGACATCTGGTACACAGCCTCCATGACAGAATAGATAAACAGACAGCCACTCGCTTACAGTAATTCACCAGACCTATCCAAAGCGCCTGAGCCACCCACAGAAATCAAGAATTGAGTATAGTGTCGTTAGATCGTAGAAGATGTAGTAGTGTCGTAATCGTTAGATAGCCTTGGCGGTGCCTTCGTCTGCCAGCGACGAGCAGATCGCATTGGTATCCTGGTTTACCATGTTTCGCCAGATCTTGCATAAAGGCACTTCAGTCAAGACGTCGATGAGGACAATTGCCCCGCAGATTGCGAAAAACTCCGCTGGTTTGCGAATTTTGATCATGTCCAGGCGCCAACGCGGCGCGACGAGTGTGACTGCCAACATGGTG